CAGAGATCAAGGCTGGAGCACAACAAGGCTCTACCTCCTCCTCCTTAGCCTTCTTCTTGGCATCATCCAGTTTCTTCTTTTTGCTTTCAGGCATGAGGTCATCCAGCCAACTAAGCTCACGCTTGGAGAAGCAGAGATCCATGACTTTCCTGACGAAGACCAAGGCTAGGACCTGACAAGAAAAAAAGGGAGGTAAAGGGGAACTTGCTGCGAGCAGTAAAGCAAAATGACTTTCACTCGGTCTAGGCCATTTCAAGCAGAACTGGACTTCTGATGATCACAGCAGTAATCACTCCCTGTGGCCCACTGGCACCCAGTCTGAGACTTTTTACATAATTTATTTTTAAATTTGTATATATTCCTAAAATATATGTTTTTATGTATACTATGTATTTATGTATGCGTGTGTACTATGTGACTTCCTGGTGCCCATGGAGGTCAGAGAGGGCATCAGTACCTCAGGAACTGACATTTAATCCACAACATAAATGAACAGAGCATCCATTATTCAAACTTAAGGAAATTCTGGCTCATGAGGCAACAGGGACCCAGGGAAATAAACCAATATCGCATGATCACCTAGGGTAGCAGAAGTCACAGAGATGGACGACAACAGAACTGTGGGTGCCTACGGGTTTGCAGGAAGGGAGAATGAGAAGTGGTAGTTTAATGAGTCTGGAGTTTCTGCTTTGCAAGGTAAAGACAGATAGTGATGCTGGCACCTCAACAATGTTCTTGAGCTCACTGACTCATACCCTTAGAAATGGTAAACACAGGCTGGGTGGTGGTGGCGCACACCTTTAATCCCAGCACTCAGGAGGCAGAGGCAGGCAGATCTCTGTGAGTTCGAGGCCAGCCAGGGCTACACAGAGAAACCTTGTGGGGGTTGGGGAGAACCCTTACCATCATTGGGAAAACAATGGCAGCTGGTGAGGCCTTGATAACCCAGAGCAGGACAAGGCAGGTGAGCTGGATGAGGGTGAAGAGGTGCACTTTTCTCAGTGGGACATGCCGCAGGTAGATGAAATCTGGTTGGTGTTTGGCTGGCATCCCAAAGAGCTTCAGACGATCAAAGAACTGTGGTTTCTACTGAGAGAAATGGAAACGACAGCCAATTTGGTAAAGGTCAGTAAGTGGCAGTCAAAACGAAAACTACCTTTTCTAACTCCAGGTGTGAATTTCTTCCCCCGACCCTACCCCTACATTGCAGCTGAAGAGAGTGTTTCCAGGGTGGGTGAACACAAGCCAACTACATCTCTGTGCATACTCTCAAAACCAATTCCACACAGGAGTGGTTACACGGACATTTAACTACAGATAGGCTGGGGCAAAAGGACAGACAAGAGTTTGAGGCTGGCCTGGGTTACACAGTGGTTCCAAGTCAAACTGAGCCTCAGAATAAGACACTCTTTCAAAGAACAAATGCTCTCTCCCCAAATCCCTAAGTTCCCAAACCCCAACTCTCTCACTTGTTCTTGGAAAGATTTGAAGCTGCTTATTGACACGATTAAAAGAGACCTCTTCAAATTCTGGATAGATGGGTTATGGTATTCTGGAGCCAGTGAGAGGGCTCAGGAGAAGTGCTGGTGCACAAGCCTGATGACGACAGTTCAAATCCCGGGACCCATATAAATGTGGAAGGAGAGAAACAACTCCACAGTCACCCTTGGACCACAACATGCATGTTGTAGCTCATGTGCCCACACATACTACCATCCGCCACACCACCACCACTATCACGCTATGTCATGCATGTGGAGGGAGGACTACTTAAGACAGTTGGTTCTCTTCTTCCACCATAGGTTCCAAGGATGGAACTCAGATTGTCAGGCTTGGTAGTAAGCACCTTACAGGCTTGGTAGTAAGCACCTTACAGACTTGGTAGTTAAATACCTTACATGCTTGGTAGTAAGTACCTTACAGGCTTGGTAGTAAGCACCTTACAGACTTGTTAGTAAGCACCTTACAGGCTTAGTAGTAAGCACCTTACAGGCTTGGTAGTAAGTACCTTCCCTGCTGAGCCACCTTGGTGTCTTTTTGGTTCTTGACTGATGTTTCAGGTCCAGGTCTACTGGAATTTGGCAAAGTGTGCCTGGTTTAATGCCAAATAACCACTGAATAAGAATGGCTAGAACTATGACATCAAGCCATGTTATCCTGGAAGTCAATACTCCATCATGACCATAGTTTGTACCTGAATATCTGAAGACATTTCTTAGCCAAACAGCAAGATGGGGAAGTAATGTCTCAGGAACTGGCTGTGCCTCCCCTGGGGAATTGTCAGGTCAGGACAAGTGAACACAGAGCAAGAGACATGGTGTAGCTGAACCACACAATACCTGGATTCCTTGTAGAGAAGAGACTCCCATGTAGAGGAAAACTCCGTAGAGCACTGGCATCGGGATAAACTGCAGATAAGGGCACAAGACAAGAAGTGTGGCACACCAGCAGGGCTTAAGTCTACCTATTTTTTTTTTTTTTTTGAGACAGGGTCTTACTGTGTAGCTTTAGCTGGCTTAGAACTCAATATGTAGACAAGGCTGGCCTTGAACTCACGGACACCTGCCCATCCATTTTGCCTCCTGAGTGCTGAGATTAAAAGGTATGTGCCAACCTGTACCGTCTATATAAACTTTTAACTTTGAAAATGAAACCAAGCCACAGACTGTTTCATAAACCTCTCCTTCAGTTAAAGTGGAAACAAAAAGATAAGCTGGTTTGATCAAAATCATTTTATCTTGAAATGAAATTGTTACCCATAGGTAAGTCATGGGCCTCATGTCTCCTCCAGCCTCTCCCTCTGCCAGACTTCCTCCTCCATAGATATGAGTACACAGATGGAGACACATCCATTCATGGTCATGTGCGCACACACAAGTATACACACACATTTGTGTTCATGTGCACACACATGTTTACACATGAAACATCCACACTTGTTAAGTACACACACATGCTTACACACTCATGGTCGTGTGCACACAGATTCACACATTCATCATGTGCACACACGTATGCATACACATCCGTGGACATGTGCGCACACACATGTATACTTGCACACATTCGTAAGTCATGTACACATACTTACATAAACTCAAGGTCATGTGCACATACACATATATACATGTACACGCTTGTGGTCATGTGCACACATGCATACACATGCATATACACACTTGTCCTGTATACATTACATATGCATACACACTTGTGGTCAAGGGCAAACACACACACACACACACACACACACACTTCACTATAATTTAATTTTAATCTTCTATATTCATCATCACTTCCTTAGGAACTTAGAATATTTGGACAAAAATTAAAAAAAACAACAACATTTTTCTGACCTAAGACTTGAGGGCAGCAGAGAGGAAACTAGTTGAGAATATGTTGTTATATTGTGGGTTTTTGTTGGTGGTGGTGTTGGGGTTTGGGGTTTTGTTTTTTTTTTTTTTTTTTTTTTTTTTTTTTTTTAAAAAAAGTTTTTTTTTTTTTTTGTTTTTGTTTTTTCAAGCCAGGGTTCCTCTGTGTAGCTTTGGAGCCTCTCCTGGCACTCACTCTGTAGACCAGGCTGTACTTGAACTCATGGAGATCCACCTGCCTCTGCCTCCCGAGTGCTGGGACTAAAGGTGTGCACCAACACTGCCCAGCTTATATTGTGTTTTTTTTAAGTGGTGGGCACAGCAGGTAAATGTGGCTTTCCTGTCACATCATGTTTTTCAGTTTAGAAAGTTGACCTTGAACTTGCTGTGTACAGAAGAAAGGCCTTTCACTTCTGATTTCCTTGCCTTCATCCACGTCACCACCCTGCCTGGCTGCTGTAGTGCTAAAGATCAAATCCAGAGCTTGGCACCTCGACACAGTGTTCTACATCCCTAGTCCCTCAGTTTGCTTTTATCGTGGGGTTAGAGAACAACAAAACTCCTCTCAGAGTTACAAAGTCCACATTGGATTTAACGTTGTCCCGACTCTAGAGTGACTAGACATCCCTGTCTGGTGGTAAGTCTGCAGTACTGCTGGACGGTGTCTGTGCCCCTGAGTGTTCATCATCAACTTAACATAACTTAAGAGTCATCTGGAAAGAGGAAATTTCAGTGAAGAACTGCCATGAGCATGTCTGTGGGACACTATCTTCATTAAGGATCAATACAGGAGCCCACAGTGGGCTATGCCACCCCTAGACAGTGGGCCCGGGTTGTATAAGACAGTCAGCTGGGCATGTGCCAGAGCATGAGCCAGCATACAACGTTCCTGCACAGTTTCTACTTCAGTTCCTGCACTGACTTCCTTCATGATAGACTGTTACCTGGAAGTGTAAGGTGAAATAAGCCCTTTCCTCCCCAAGTTGCTCTTGGACATGGTCTTTATAACTAAAAAAAAATAAAATAAAATAAATACTAGAACAATATCTATGAACCTAGCAATCAAGAGGCAGAGGCATTAGGACTGCCTCAAGTTCAAGGCCAGCCTAGTCTACATAGTGAGTTTTAGCCATCTAAGACCCATCTCAAAAACAAAAACCCAGGGGTAAGAAGGGCTAGGGACATAGCTCAACAACACAGTGCTTGCTTTGCATGCAGAAGGCCCTGGGTTGGACCTCCAACATGAAGGAAGCTATTCAAAGAAAAGAAAATGGCAAGACAGTGGTCCATCAGATAGATGACTAACCACATTTTATAATTACCACGTTTGTTTCCTTAAGCACATTTAACTGTCTTACCCACAAGAATAAATTCTTCCAGGGCAGGGATCTATGTCTATATATTGATATCAGAGCCACTGCATTCCCAGCAGAGTTCATGGTACAAAGACCCTCGGTGTCTGCTTGGTGTGTAATGAGTGATTACCTTTAAGACAGTCGTCATGAAGACCGAGCAGCCCATCAGCACGAAGATCATAAGGCCTGTAACTCTCTGTTCTCGGATGCCCAAAAACTTAGGTTGTTCCCCTGGAGCAGAACACTCAGACTCCAGTTTGAGGCTATTCACATGTGTGATGGACAGGACGGTTGCAGCCACAAACCAAGGCAGGCCCATGATGGAACAAACACCCAGCATGATGGCCACCATCAGCAGGTCCAGATGGTAGCCACAGCCTTTCTGTGGGGAAACAGTCACTGACAGTGAGCTAAAGGCTGCAGGCTAAAAGCTAGGAGTCTAAGGGGGGGAAGGGTCCAGAGAATGCTCACAACCCTCCCAGTTAGGGGGAACACAGACGAAAGGGGGAAGTTTAGCTTGTCTTATACATACGCCAATATCTGTTCTTTATACAGTTGCCTCAGCTTCCTCTGCTTGAATCTCACAAATTCAAAACTCACCTCTACCCTGGAAGAGTAGCAGGAAGCAAGCCACACGGTGACTGTCCTATATACTACACCATCTCCATTGCCAAACCTAGATTTTTCCAGAGATGGAAGGCACATGGCGTCTCACTAACACATGAGTTACAACTACCCCTAGTCTCATTAATCCTGAACTCAAGATTCATCTTGAAGCCTCACACTAGACCTCAATGGGAGAATTCCTGCCTCTGGGAAACAGAGGCTTACAGCTCTGAGCTGAACCTTAGGAGGAAAGCTCTGACCACCCACCTCTACAGTCTGAGAGGAGAGTAATGGAGCCCAAGCTCCTCCCACATTGTATCACACACTCCACTCCAGTCTCACCTCTAACTAACCTTTGTTATTAAGGGGCAAGCAATGACAAGCTCGTGGGAGACTTCATTCAGCTCAGTTCCTGGTACAGCCAGGCTTATCCTAAAATAAAAAGCCTTCCAGGCCGGAACCTCTGGTTTACCTTGAGCTTATGCTCCTTCCTGTTAATGATGACAGCAGTGATCTGCTGGTCCATGAATATCAAGATAGTACACAGGAGAGCTGGGATGATCGCCGCTAGCACAGCCCACCAGGGATTGGGGCCAATGGGGTTGATAAACCATCCTCGGTCATCCCGTGTTGGCTAAGAGATAAAACAAGCTGAATTTTTGCATCTTAACTCGGAGATTAGAGGAAAACAAATCAAGATGAATCATTATTCTACTTTTTTTTTTTTTTGGTTCTCATTTGAATGGAAATCCTTAGAAAAACAAAACAAAACATGAAATACAGCAACCCCTGAGGAAATCTCTGGCCTTTTTTTCCAAATCCCCCCTAGTAGTCAATCATCACTTATCAGCTTCCTGTGGAATATCCATTAATCCTACACGGCCTTCCATTTATTCCCCAAGTCCCCAAATGCAGAGAAAGCAACTTTACCTCAATGTCAGCCCAAATAAATATGTTAGTAACTAAATCTGTTGTTAAAAAAATGACTTCCTGAGACAAATATACATAACACAGATGACCCTCGGCAACCCTCAAAGGAGCCACGGACTGTGTCTGAGGTACAAACAGAAACCAAGTGAACCCAAGTTACTCAGATTCTTGGGCCGAGAGCAGATTATCCCATGAGCCCCATCAGTGGTGAAGCAGGAGCCCAGGAACTGGAGACTCAGGAGTCCCCAAGCATGGGATGTCTGACCTAGGACCCTCTTCAATGGCTTTATTAGCCATTTATTCAAACTCTCAACCCCACCCTTGGTATGCACTCTAAGAAAAAAGCAAATGGTGCAGGGGGATAAAAGGCTATCACCCAGAATGATCCCCAAACTCAGCAAATAAAGAGAGATTGCTGTATCTGAAGCATACATTAGTTACAACACTTGGGTTAAAGAACTCTTCAATAATACTGGCAAGTCCTAGATTTTGAACAGGTTAAATAAATTGTAACAGCTTTAGAACCTATGTTTTCATTGTAAAACTATGTAGTCATAGGTAGCAGTTAAATTCTCAGACCAAGACAGAAACTTTCTAACACATTAATGATAATGTAAGTAGTTGCATAGCCAGGCCTGCTATATTTATTGGTTCATTCTACATCTACAGACTCAATCAACTGCAGAATCGAGACACTGGGAAAATGCCTCTGTGTTAGACACATACAGATGTTGATCACTGTTCTCCAAACACTATAGCAGGACACCTTTACACTGCTGTAGGCAAAGTGGTCCTCAGATGTTTTAAGTCTAAAGGAGCTTGGACAGAGGTTGTATGCAAATATAGCATTTCCTGTATGAAATGGAGCATCTGTACCCCTGGGTCCTGTAACTTCAGCCTGGCCTTGGGAGCTGGGACTGGCTGGCTAAGGAGAGAAGGCAGGAGACAGCTTCCTCTTTGCTTCCTAAGCTGTCTGCACCAGCCATGTTTCCTTGGATCTTCTCCTATTTCCCTTTCTGTCTTCCCCTGCCTCCCAGAGGACCCAGAAATCAACTCATGTCTTAAACCTGTGTGTGCATCTCGGAACTTTCCCAAGGATTGCTTAATGCTCCAAATGTGCCCATTTTTACACAAAATCCATTTGTCTAGCAGTCAGCTAGGTATTAGAGAGAAAGCCGATGGTGTCCATTCATACAGGGTTAAGAACATCAGGCTCTGGGAGGTGTTACACTTATGGAGGATGTTTCTTAACCCATTCGGCATTTTAGCAAGTTTAAAAAAATTAAACAGATGATATAGAAAATATATACAGTGTGTCTCCTTGCAATTATTGTGAAGATAGTGAGGAAGATGGTGAAGTTGCTCACCATAGAGCATCCCTGCCTGGCATGAAACTTGCTCTGCAGACCAGGCTGACCTCAGATTCACAGAGATGTGCCTGCCTCTGCCTCCTGAGTGCTGGGTTTAAAGGTGTACACTATGGATCATCAAGTGCTGCGTCTACCACTGTCTGTCTTCCTGCGATCCCCAGACCCTCCTATTCTGTTGTCTTCTGAAGTAGTTGAACATATCCAAGCTTTCTGTCCTCTCCACCATTGGAATGAGGGCCTGTGGAGTTAACTAAACTCAGACCTCCAGGCTCATCTACTTATACCCCTTGCACTGAAATAGATCTGGGATCCCAATGAATGATCATTATTTTAGTTCGATTGTAAGTTTTTAAACTACTGTGGGTTATAAATAAACAAACATAGAATACAGTTGAAGAGATGTCCTGATGGCTCAGCAGGAGCCCTGAACTCCAAACAAGACTTCCTTAGGCCTTAGGTCATTTCTACTCGGTAACAGTTCCTTAAGGCTGCAGCTCTGTGAAGGTGGCATCACCCGTGTGTGCTCCCAGGGCCCACCCCTCCACAGCAGCACATCGTTTTGTAAGTGGACACCTTCCATTCGCCTGCAGCTTACCAGGTCATGCATTTGTTATGGCGGAAGTTCCACCCAAGTCCCCCACGCCATCTCTCTCTAAACCCTGCTGCTCCTCAGAAAGCCCACCAAATGATGACGCCTCCCCAAGAGATGCTCAAGACCACTCCCACAGGGTATTTAAACTGCCTCCCAGAAAATACACTTGTGGTTTTCCAGTCTCTCTTTCCTGTCTCTTCTCTGGGGGCCTGGAAGGCCATCTGGGAGCATTGTATCCATTAAATGTGGGCTTTTTCTAATTCGGTTTGATTTGGTCTGATTTGGATTGCTGCATTGGCAGGGAGACTTATCAGGGTGTAGAAACTTTTCAGTGTTCATAATAACACACATTAAATTTTGCTTACTGAACCTCTGAGATCAACTTCAGATCAGCCTGCACTCAGGCACCAAGCTCCCAAGACCCACGTACCTTGAACACACTGGGGACCTGAAGCTTTGGTGACGGGACTCCAATCAAAAAGTCAACAATCACCATCGTGAAGATGGTGAGGAAGACAGCAAAGTCACTCACCATGGAGCGCACCTGGCACAAGAAAAAGTCAGAGTAGTTAATACAGCAAAGATGGAAGCACCTGGAAGAGCTACCAGGTCTCAGAAAGACATTTTGAAGCTAAACTAATACAAGACTATATGACTATTTTAGTATACTCAAATGCCCACAGTGTGTGTGTTACATGGAACAACAAACTTCTGACCAAGTCTAATGTAATTAAGACCAGTCTCTAAGGAACAGTTTGGGATGCACAGGCCCAGGCTCAAATTCTGGGTCTAGCCGAGGTCATATGTGCTAGCCCAGATCTCAGACCTTCATGTCTCCCACATCGTGGATCCAATCCATCCACAAAGCCTATCAGCCAACATCCAGAACATGCCCAGAACCTGAGCAGGACTTGTCACCAGAGCTGTGCCCATGCTCAGCCCCTGTCACCGCCACCTCTCACTGGGGTAACTGCTTTACCTTTGCCCTCCAGTGTTCTTGAACATAGCTTCTGGAGTAATAACTTAGATAGGTTGAATCATGTCCTTCTAGCAAAACCCCGAGAAGCCTCCTTGTTTCACCAAGTTCAAACCCAAAACACTCTCCTCCCTGTGAAGTGCACAGAGCCGCCAGTGCTGTCCCACCTGTTCACAAAGCCCCAAGCACACGGGTCCCTCACCCTTGCTTTCCTTTAGTACTACTCTTTCATGCTATTTCTGAAGCTGGCCCGGCTCACTCCACCTCGGCATCTTTGTACTGCTCATCTCCCTACCTGACGACATTTCTGCCAGGTGACCTCTGGGAACTCAAGTCCCCTACAGCTTCATTCAAACACAACCTTCTTTCTGAGATTTTCTTGAGATAGGACAAAAAGACAGGGAATCTAAGGAGATACTTGGAAGGGACAGGGATGCCCACTCTAGATCCGCGTGCCGAGAGTGCTTGTTTTCCTGAAGGTGTGGAGACAAGTGGACCCTTACTCAGAGCCTGAATGTCTGAGGCCTTGAGCCACTGAGTCAGCAGTCCTCTCTGGGCCCTAAATCTAAACAGTGCACCTCAGGACACAATCTCACAACCTCATACAAAACAAAATACTTCCGGAAAATTTTTATGTAAACCAGCGTGTGGTTGTTTCATGTGCATATATGTGCACATGTGTGTGGAGAACTAGAGATGACCTTTGGGTACCACCTTTAGAAACACCATCACCTCCTATGAGACAGGGAACATGGGGCTCACCAATTAGGCTGGAGTGCTGCCAGCAAGACCCAGGGACAAGTCTCCACCTCCCTACAGTTAGAATCACAGTCACGCATGCACCATGACACGGGGACTTTTTACCCAGGTTCACGCTTTTTACCATCACAGTCTCACGCTTGCAAGGCATGCACTTTACTGATGAACCATCTCCCAGAGACTCTAAGTTTTTACTTACTTTTTAAGCCTCAATCCTCAAACCTTGCTGTAAACTGCACACCCGTATCTGCCACGAGAAGCACCTATGTGTCACTCTGCACTAAATTAAGAGCATCGGCAAGTCTTCAGTGTGTGCTGTCCTTTCCCTACATGACCCTGTCTAAATACTTTAAAATAAACTCACCAAGCTTATTCACATCAGCTTGCCTAAAATTCTTTTCTGTGATATAGTCAAGGACAGGCTTTCACTGAAATTCCTCAGGCTAGGGGCAGTGTCGGACGGAGTCCCCCAGCACAGCTGACACCCCTTATGGTCCTGCTAAAAACTCGCCATTACCCCCAGTACTTCTTTCCTGCTTCGTTTTCTTCAATAGCGCTTATTTCCTGTGTCTGTGTGTGCGGACGCATGTGTGTGTGTGTGTGTGTGTGTGTGTGTGTGTGTGTGTCTGTGTGTGTGTGTGTGTGTGTGTGTGTGTGTGTGTGTGTCTGTGTGTGTGTGTGTGTGTGTGTCTGTGTGTGTGTGTGTGTGTGTGAATGAGCATGTGGTATGTATATACATGCATGCAAGCGTGTGTATTACTAGTACATATATACACGTGGTATATGTGCATGTTTGTGGTAAGTGTGCATTTCTGTGTGTGTGTGTGGTGTGTGTGTATTTGTGTGTGTGGTCTGTATGTGTGTGATGTTCATGCATGTGTGTGCATGTGTGTACATGTATGGATGTGTGTGTGGTATATGTATATGTGTACATGTGCTTGTGTGTGCATGTGTGTGTGTGCATGTGTTTTACCATCCATTTTAAGGCCTGTCCCAAGAGGACCCCATTTAGATGAGCTTTACTGAAAGATAGAGATGTGCACCCTGGTCAGCTCCTCACAGAGAGGAGGTAAAAACATCCTGCCACGCACAGCATCACTGCTAACTTCACTTTGCCTTGATGCCTCAGATTTGCAGCACACTCCCCATGGTTTTGCTCATCGTGACTGTCCATGCATTCTCTGAAGACTCATCCCCATGCCTGCCATGAAATGACCATGGCCACCCTGGGCCCTGTCATCCTTCTTCCTCTGAATTCCCACAGCACTGACTTCCCAGACAGATGGTACCAACTGTCCCCTGGACATTCCCTTCACACCCACCAGAAGCTACTACTTTTGAGTTATTTTTAAAAGTGTTAATTTATTTACTTATTCTGTGTATATGCACACACCATGACACACATGGAGATGGAGGGCAACCTGAGAAAGTTGTTCTGTCTCCACCACGTGTGTCCCAGGGATTGAACTCAGGTCATCAGGCTTGGCAGCAAGGGTCTTTACCCATTGAGCCATCTCATTGACCCTGCAGATATCTTTAACTTTGTGTCCCCCATGGCACTTACCCAGGTTTGAGCAACTGGTCGGCATCTAACAGCCACTTGTTAAATATTTGTCCAGATAGGAAATGGTTGTGAATTTATTTAATTTTGCTGCTTCCCTTGGCTACTCTGCAGGCTCACTAAGGCCTAAGAATAGGTTTCAGCCATGGATATATATATACACAGCAAGTAACCAACCAAGCCCCAGACCTATAAATTCATGTACTCTGGCATGTGGATGTGACTGAATGAGAGCCCTCACAGAAGCCATGGCCCACACAGCTGCTCAAACTCAGGCCTCTAATTCCCACTCTGCCTGAACCAGCAGAAAACCTGCTCATCAGGGAAGGAATCCAAGTCAAGGACAGGCTGGTTTCTGCAGCCAGGAAATTCATCTATGGCAGGAACCATGCCTGGGGAGGAGCTTTTGAGTCCTTTAAAGCACACAAGCCAATTTCTCCAGCAAGCCTGTTCTAGCTTTACATCCCCAGTGTCTCAGAATCCCAGACATGGGCTTCAACAGCATCCTGAACCCTGAGATGTAATCTTAGAGAATATCAGTACCACCTTCAACCTACCTGGTGCTTTTCAATCAAAAAAGGCTGCAAGCATCCTTACTCCATACCATAGAGCTCTGAAAGGGGCTGCTGAGCACTAGAAAAGCCTGCCACAGTGCAGCCACTCATCAGGACAGCTGGTGCCCTCCATGCTGCCAATCTCTACAGCAGCGTGGGGCTGAGAATCGGATCTGTTGTTAGAATCTTAACACAAAAGTAATGTATGAGCAGCTACCTACTCTGGTTGGGAAATAGCGGCTCGTCTTAAATGTCTTTAAGGTGCTTGAGAGGATGAAGGTGGTGAAGAAGAGGATACAAGACCAAAAGAGCACATCGGGAGTGTAGGGTCCGTGATGACCACACGCCGATCCTATGAACTCTCCATGCATCTCCTGGCATTTCTGGAAGAACAGGAATTCTGAGTTACAGAAGGCAGGCACATGGAAACAAACAGCTACTGCTTTCTGAGTTCGCCATGCACTGCCACACCACACTCGCTGGGCATCTCAGGCCACCAGCACTGTCTGCTCCACCACCATGCAGCTAGAGCCCTCACCAGCAGATCCCTGTCAAGAACATGGGGTGGTCCTAACCAATGCACTAAGACATGAAGTTAGACCTGCCTGGTACAAACACTTCTCCTGAGGATCTGGGAAGAGAGAACCTTTAAGACTGGTTATAAATATTTAGGCTTATAAAGCTTTCATAATTGCTCTTTTAAAAAGAATATTCATTATTGTGAGTTTTTTAAATGAAAACCAGCCATCATGTTTGCATAAACACACAGAAATGCAATAAAGCTATCACTGCCATTAGTGGCAAATTTCCTAAATGTTGGGGAGAGACTCTGATAAGAAATGGGCACACATGGATGGGAACTGCAACACTTCAGAGCATAAAAGTCATCTTAAACATCTTAGTGAGAGCCCACATTACCGGAGGGTCATACACCATCACAAAAAATACCCGTTTTTTTCAATATAACTTATAAATAAAACGTAGTGATGTTAGCATGATAAAACGTAGTGATGTTAGCAAAGAAACCTGTAAGTATATCAATATGATAAAACAGAGCTAATCAGTAACAGGCTCCCACATAGTCACTGCTTAAATGATCAAAATGGCCCTTTGTAACCCGAAATGGGTCTCTCTGATGACCTGAAACTATCATGTTTCCACCTCGGGCTCCCAAGGACTAGAACTACAGATGTGTGCCACATCTGGCTTAAGTGTAAATGCCAGGGTCCAGCATCTGAAAGTCCTACTACTCTACCTCCATCTAGAAGTCCTTCATAGACCTGGTGGTCACACAGAGGGCCTCTAGCCATGCCCAGACTTACACTGACAGTCAGGTTCGCCCAGTTCACTTCTGTAGCCACAATGTTGTGGTCCTTCCAGTACTGCAAAGTGTGGTTGTTTGGATTCTCTGGGAGTGTACATCTGCAGCTATGGAAAGAAGAAAATATCTCTAACAGAATCAGCCAGCTAATTTAAGGTACTCTTAGCCATAACCAGATCAAAGGCTCTGTCAGAGCCTACCTCCTTTCTTTTTCATAGACTTCAGATCTTGGAGATGGGTCCTATTGGTTGAAGACAACTTACCAACACAACCACACTCTTCAGCTGGTCATGACTAAAGACGTGTTCAACTCAATCAGTATGTAGGTCTTGAATAAAATGGTATAGGGCCATAGGGCCTGCGATATGCCAGGAATAAGCCTTGGAGGTTCCTTGTTTGGTTTCTATCTCTTAAGATCTTGCTATGAGTCAATCGACACAGCGAGGAGGTCCTGATGCTGCAATCAGTTCTCAACAACTTCCTTCAAGTGTCAATGCCTGACTCCCATGCCCGCCATCATGCTTCTATTTAAACATTAGAACCTCCTGGAGTGTATCTCCCACTACACAGAATTTCCTGCCTACTCCAGCTGAGCCAGGCCTGGCTGCTCCACCGCCTCCCTTACTCCCTCCTCTCTCTCATCCATCCAGGTTAGACACAGTGTCCCCACAGGCCACCATGCTGCCTCCCAACCTCAGCATGCTTTGCATCAGTATGGTCAACTGACAGCCATTCTCACCACTTTTGCTTCATCTGTACATTTAGAAGCCACACCTTTTACAACAGAATTAAAATTCAGATCTCAACAGAAGGAAGCCTAAAAACTACATTTAGTCTTTTAAACAAAACAATCTCAGGGCTGGGAAGGTTGCTGAGTGGGCAAACAGCTTGCTATACAAGCATGAGAACCTGAGTTTAAATCTCTAGAATTAGACACTTAGGAACACTGTGTGCAGCTGCAATCCATCACACCTAGAATGGAGATCAAAGTGGAGACGGAGTACCTGGAACCTTGCGGGTCAGCTAGCTGGGAACACAGTGTCAAACAAGGAGACTATAGCAAACAACATGGCAGGTTGCTAGACTATGGCACGTTGCTAGAAAAAGGGGCAGTGATTTCTCCAGTGGTCTAACCATTGGCAAAAGGTCTGTGTTCATGTAAACAACCCACACTCACGGAAGCCACCCCAATCAAAGTCAGTGGGTCCCTCTCTCTCTCTCTCTCGCTCTCTCTCTCTCTCTCACACACACACACACACACACACACACACACACACACACACACACACACGCAGACACGAAAGGAGGAGGCAGAGTGGTGGGACAGAAGGAAGAACCGGTGGAAGGTGGCAGGATGGAGGGAAAGTAATTGGGGTGAACATGATGAAGAAGCATTATTACTTACGTAGATGTATTACATTGTCAAATACGTAACAGTGTAAGTTACTTGATTACCATGCCGTGGTAAAGAGAAAGTCCCTAACTCTGTAAGTGAAAACAAAGGAAGAAGAAGAAAGGCAGGGGAGGCACACTTACTAATAGAGGCTGAGGTGGTCCAGCTGGCTGTGCATGTGGATGGGGTAGGTCTCTGCCAGGTGAATCAGCTTTTCTATTGCTTCATAGATGAAAATAATGCAAATCAGGGAGGCAAATGCTTCTTCTGTGAAGCGAGTGATATAGCAGACGAGGGAACTGGCGTCAGTGGCCACAAGGACGATACACAGGAAGGCAGTCCACAGCCCGATACAGGCTCGCAGGGAGAGGTATGAAAGGTCGTAGTCCCTGAAAAACACAGATGCTCATGAAGAAACATGGAAGGCAGGCACAGAGACAAAAGGGACACATGGCTGATTCGGCTCAGCTTATTCACACCGGCACTGCCACCCTTTGTCCCTAAGGCTGCACGGATGTGCTCCTCAGTAAAGACCTGGGACAATGTGTTCAAGATCTTCCTCACTAGAGCTGTTTGCAGGGTAAAGACCAGAGAACAGAGAAGGAAGAAAACAGTGCATTGCAAAATGTCTGCCATTATTACCCAGTGTGATTACAAGTGTGGTCGTGCAGTGAGAAGACTGGACGGCTCTGGCTCTGTGTGTTTTTACTTGTAATACAAGGTGAGAAAAGGGCCTTATAGCATGGAAACTAGAGCATTGCTAGGCCCCACCACCATCCACAAACAGAATATGAAGAAAGGACAGTAGACCCAATTTAAAATTACCCTAAAACATAAAAGGGAGGGAGTCTGAGTCAGTTAAGATATTTTTCTTAAAAATTAAAAAGCCCACCTGGGCATGATGGTGAAACCTGCAATCCAGCACTCAGGAGACCACATCAGAGGAAATGTGAATGCAAGGCTAGCCTGGGCTACACAGTTAAGATATTTTTCTTAAAAATTAAAAAGCCCACCTGGGCATGATGGTGCAACCTGCAATCCAGCACTCAGGAGACCATATAAGAGGAAATGTGAATGCAAGGCTAGCCTGGGCTACACATATAAGAGACCCTAGCTCAAAATAAATAGAGCTGGAGAGACTGCTCATGGTTAAGAGCACTGGCTGTAATTCTGGAGGACCCGGGTTTGATTCCCAGCTCCCAAGTGGTGGCTCACAACCACCTGCAACTCTGGTTCCACAGGATCCAACACCCTCTTCTAGTTTCCATGGGCACTGCACACACATGGTGAATAGACATACACGCAGGCAAAACGCAAACGCCCATACACATAAAATAAATATAAAAAAACCTCAAAGACTGATATCTTTAAGAGATTAAAGATGTAAAGACAAAGAGCAATGGAGAATAGACGCTAAGCAGGCTCTGGAAAGAAGGTGGCCTGTGGCTACAGGAGCTATGGGAAGACGGCTGGAGGCAACTGCCCTCAGGTTTGTGTGTCTGAGACTGTGTGCCTGCACAGGAGCTGGTGCTCGGCTTGAGCAGAGGCAGCCATGCCCAGCAGCTACACCTAGCAACCATAGGGGAAAACAACATCTTACTTGCAGAATTTGAAGAGGATCTTCTCAAACACGAGCACTGGGCCAGTGCTCCCCAGGATGGTGAGGGGCTGCCCAGCAAACAAGGAGTAGGCGATCCCTGTCATGGATGCTCCAAACAAAGACTCAATTGCACTCTGTGGAGGAGAAAGAAATCAGAGTCTGAGGCCGTCCGCAGCTTTCCGCAGAGAACAGCTGCCTTACCTACACTGACTTAGCTGCTCCATGCCTTGACAGTCATTTGCTTGTGTTTCTTCTAAGCAAGAATGAGGGGTACACAGTGCCTAAGCTCTTGCAAACAAATGCCACTTTAATAATTCAGGTACCAAACCATCTGCCATGATTCCTCAACTAAGTTTTATCCTTCGGCTCAGTTTGGTATTCAAAGGAATATAAAAGCACAATGTCACTCACATGACATCCCATCCCACAGAGTCACTGATCCAGGCAACCAGCTACTGAAGGTGGCATACAAGCAGAAGGGATGCGAGTGGGAGCCAGAACTGGGCTCCTCCGTGTGCAGGAAGCAGGCCTGGGCTCCCACATAGGTCAGAAAACCCAGTCATTCAGGACACAGGATCCAATCTCCTCAGCACTGCCTAGGTAAGGGACTCCCAAAGAACTTGGATGCCACCACAGTGTTTTAAGTCTTGTTTTGGACCATTAGAAATGATGAAAAGTCCTTACTATACGTCCTTCAGTGGCTTCTCCAAGCAGTCCCCCAAAGGTGATAACAGGTGACATGCAGGCACAGTACAGGAACAGAAAGGAGGCCAGACACTGTAAGCTGAGTGCGTCCCGGTAGTCACTCCAGTACCAGGGAGCCTTCCGCTTGATGTCCAGCACCAAGCCCCCAAACAGCCTGAAGAGACAGGGTGGACAGGCCTCGAACACAGTCCCTCTTCCACAGGGACACAGAGCACAACACATCTGAAAGGACTTCAAACGTGCTCAGTAATGCTGTAGCTTCAACTTCACCCCAAGCACATCTCTTTGGCATAGACAGATTCTATTATAACCAAGGGTATGGCATATGGTAAAACTGAATATGTACCGAGCATTAAAAACTGAATTTAGGTATGCATATTGCCCACTTAGCAACATTCAAAAAAGTAACAAGAAGGCAACTATTAGCTTCCGTTTCAGTTTCTAAGCTGTTAGAGAAAATGTGAAAAGCAGCTCAGGTTACCAGTGTTGTTAAGGTATGAAGCTCTATTCATGCACATTTCCACTCTGAGCAGCCCCCTGCCTCAGTCTCTGCATAAGGACTGACTCATGCACCTGACAAGTAGAAGACAATTAGTTCCAGGCACAAGGCCAGGCACTGGAGCTGTAGCAATGAGCAAGACAAACACAGCCCTTGCTCTCCAAGACCGACAGTCTAGTGCAGGATGGCAGGCGATGCATGACGGTGGGTGCTGGGGTAGCACAGGTTGGGGAGGGGCACTCAGCAGGGACTCAAAGGAAGGACCGGGAGACAGCCAGACAGGGCAGAGGGACCAGCATTGGGACACCCCAGGGTGACAACATGTGCTGAGTTCAAAGTGCTAGCAGAGACCAACAGCACAAGGGCAAAAAACTAACAGACAAGGCTGGAGAAACAGAGTCATGGAGACTGCGAATGGTTCCAAGGGATTGGAACCTAATCCTAACAGCATGTCAACCCATGTTAGTGACGGGTTTTAAACCGTGGAGCATCAGCATCCAACATGCATTCTAGAACCTTGTGGCAGTGTGAAGGAGCATGGATTGCGATGAGGAGAATTGGTCAGTTCAAGGGCTACTCAGGAGGGAGAATCAGTAGGGCTCCATCGCAGCTTTTGGGCCCTGGCAAAGGAGGCCAATGAAGAGCAAGACACACACTGAGGAGGAACACTGCCCCCAGCTGAGCCACTGCCTAAGTGGAGCCTTAGTACCACAGGGAAGCTACAAGACACAACACTGGCTTCAGATGGATGGCGTGGTTGGAGGGGAATAGGGAGGGAACTAATAAATGCAAACTGTGATTGCATCTTACATCAACAAATAAACTCCAGAAAGATGTTAATAATCTCCAGAAAAATGAACACGGACTGAGCACCGGCTAATTTAAAGAAAGATGGTTAATCTTGTTAGACTTGAGATAGGCATAACTATTTTTGAAATGCCCTTACTAAATGAGATACATACTGAGGTATTTACAGGGAAAAAAATGATAACCATGATTTAGTTTAACAGAATCTAGAAAACATAAAGACAAGTGAGAGGAAATAAATGAAACAAAATTGGTAAAATGTTGGTGACAGCTGGTAGGTATCTGGGGGACATATATATATGTATATGTATATGTATATATGTATATGTAAAATGAAACAAAATTGGTAAAATGTTGGTGACAGCTGGTAGGTATCTGGGTGACATATATATATGTATATGTATATGTATATGTATATATGTATATGTATATATATATACATAACTCTTTTTTACAAGTTTAGAATTTTCTATAATAAGAAAACTACAACAACAAAACCATTTTCTCTACTGGAGGACAGTATGGCTGTTGTTTGCCTCTTCTCCTAAGAGCCTAGGGAACTGTAAAGAGGTTGGAACCTACCCTCAGGAGACAAGCCAGCCAACCCTGCTCAGCACTGGACTGAGGTGGGGGTGAAGAAGGGAACACGGGGTGGAAACTGCCCACTCACTGTTTTCCTCTGGCTGAAGCACCATTCCTCCATTTATACCAGTAACATCACCATCTGGCAGGAAAGCCAACCCCGGGACCCGCTTTAGCACTGGCATGTACGGCAAAGCAGCTCAGGCAAATGTGCTATCTCCAGGAGCCAGCCTATCTCACCAAAGGTCAGACTTGGGGTTGGGACCAAAGACCTGATTTAAAACAGAGTGCCACTTCGTCTTACTCTCTCTGTACAAACAGACCCTGAGGGACCTTTGCAGTGGCAGTTATTAAACTGCAGCGTTCATTATTCAAGTATTTCTGGGTCCTCCCTACAACAGTATCTTGTACCAGGAGCCTATAACCTTTCACCAACAACCTCCATCTGAAGAGAAAGAATCCCCTACACCCACCCCACTGAGGGCCCTTGAGATGCTACCCCAATGGCCAGCCTTTGGCACAGGAGGCTTCACAGAGGAAATAGCAGACAGTTACATGAGACAGACATCCACCTAGCACTGCTTGAGAGGCGGGTACCAGGGTCACACTAACGGCATGACTAAAAATTATGAATAATTTCTGATTACTTCTTTTATTTTTGAGATAAGGTCTCTCTATCACGTAACCTGGTTGTCCTGGAACTCACTCTGTAAGCCAGGCTGGCTTTGAACTCAGAGAAATCCACCTGCCTCTGCCTCCAGAGTGCTGGTATTAAAGGTAAGCGCCACCACCACTCAACTCTGATTACTCCTTTTAGAGTCAGCCCCATACCTCATTCATTCATAAAATCAGACAGGAATGCAGACATTAACTAGATATGGATGCTTCTCTTCATACTTGAAACTTCCTCTCCCTTCAACATTGCTCTTGATGTTCAAGTGTTTAGGGGCAGGAGGCACACAAAGATAGGAATTTAAGCTTGGTGCAAGAACAGACTTACCCGTGTAGAGGGCTCACTAGGCTCTGGAACACTGACTTAGGGAACCCTTCCCTGGAAGGCTTTAGGGACAGGCCAGCCGTCCACTTGTCTGGTGAGCTTTGAAAGAGACCTGTTTGAAGTGTGGGGGATCATCGAGACAGCAGCTCTGCATTTTTTTGTCATTAACCCTTCCCAAAAATTTGTACCCCAAATAAGGGATATAAATCTACCCCAAAAACCTTTCCCAGAGGACCCTGCTGCAGAACTCCTGGGCTGTGGGGAAGCATCTAGTCACACTTCCTGCTTTGTCACATGATATCCCTCCTGTGTTGGCATCAGGAAGCCTCCCTACACTGTCTTAACCCTGGCTCAGAGGGCCAGAAAACACAGAACGCAGAGGAATGTTTCCTACTGTCTTCCTGATCCTTAGGGTCCATTCCACCTGATCTCCAAATACCTCTTCACCCAACATGGATAACTGTCCAGATAACTGTCCAGAAGTCTCTGCTTTTGGCCTCAAGATTCTGCAATATGATATGCATAAAGAAACATCCACATTCAAAACTATACAACAAATAGTGTAAAGATTTAGAAACGTGTGTTTTGTGGTTATGCAGTCCAGAAAACTCCAGAAACTTTTAACAAATCCAAGGTTCACATTCACCTTTTACTAAATAATTTTAAGTGGGTTAGGGGCCAGAGTTGGCCTGGAACTGTGATTTTTCTCAGAAGTGTGTGTGTGTGTGGTGGTGGGGGATGTCACCTGGCCTGAGAGGCCACTGTGACAAGAAGGCCATGGCCTTGTTGCCCTTTCCTAGGTAGTCTGAAGATGACATCAGCTCAGGAAGAGGCCACAGCTTTCTCTTAGCATTGTCACACCCAGAAGTCCTTGCTGTGTGAAACAAGCAAAACTCTTCTGAATCCTATTTGTATTTGTGAGTTAAGATCATTGGGTCTGTGATTAAGTGTGTGATAATCCGTCACTGGTGTTTTCCTTGTGAAAATTAGACAGTTTCCAAGACCCTACACCTGTTGAAATCCAATCTAATGGTGGCCCAAAGCCCCATGGAATGACGCTTTTAAGTATGGACTCTCAGGTTCTGTTTTCCTCAGAACTGGAGGGAACCTGAAATCTCACTTCTGCACAGATGACTGCTTGAGAAAACTGCTGCTTCAATCCAACTGCTTCAGCTATGCCTGGGTACAGCCATAGTTATGTATCAAAAAGATACACTGTAACTACTACACCTGGGTACAGACTCAGTTATACATAAAAAAGATACACTGTAACTCTGAAGTGTTATCAGACCCAGCCTCTGCCCTGGGGGCCTGGAGCCCCTCTCTGGATCTCCCCTCACTGAGTGCTCTCCTCAGTGCTGGATGCTCCCCTCACTACTGGGAGCTCCCCTCACTGCCAGATGCTCCCCTCACCACCACCAGACACCAGCTTCCCACTCTCCTCTCTGAACTTGAAACAAAAGGTTTGACTGTCTCTTAGGCTGCTCCCTTTAGCAACTGCCACCTCCATTCAAGAGCTCCTCCTTTCTGCCAATGTTATCCCGGAACAGAGTCACCTTCAAACACATCCTTGCAATCAGAAAAATGCAGTCCTCTGTCAGGACAGTGCTAGTTAAGGGCCACCCCCACCCCGCATTTCTCTGTCCCCTCCCTGACTTCTCCATGAATTTCCAAGAGTAGAAAAATAAATCATGCACTATATTAAAACAATTAAACAAAACACCTGAGCTTCCAGAAGAAAAGGAACAGGGAGATGACATGAAAATTATCTCCACGGTGAGTCCACTCCCACCCACTGGACCCTCTGTGGACAAAACACACATCTAGGACCAATCCCAGCCTTCTCCCCAACCAATGCCTCACATCATCCTCTTACCTCTTTCCTACCTGGGAAACGGACTTCCTAGTCTGTGGACAAGTTACCTTCACCTACCGTAAAGGACCTCTTCCTTGGACACCTCTCTTTAAAATACTGGCGGGGAATTGCAGATTTCAGACACACACACCTAATAGAACACCTACCTTCCTACTACCCTCAGGGAGTTTCTCATCCTAAAATGATGATCCAGCATCTCCTCATACCTTGTCCATTCCATGCCACACATAGGTATCATGCTAAAAGTATTCATTCATTCATCTGACAGTGTGTGTCTACTCTGATGAGGGGCACTGTGCTGAGTGCCAGGAATACAGTACAGTATTTAATTTCTGGAGTCAACAGTCTAGCAAGAAACATACATACACCAAAAAAAAAACAAACAAACAAACAAACAAAAAAACAAGGAATAATAATGACATTTCTGGAGTCAACAGTCTAGCAAGAAACATACATACACCAAAAAAAAAAAACAAACAAACAAAAAAACAAGGAATAATAATGACGTATGATATGGGCTGTAATAATGGTGAGGTAAGAGGAGGAATTAAAGGTCAATACTGTAGAAGTACCTTTTTAGCCACAGAAAATACTAGAAGGCTTTCCAAAGGAATTGGCATCTGAGTAGAGACAAAGGGCAAGTGGGGAATGCCAGACAATGAGGAAGAGGAAGGGGTTTTGTTCACATCAGAGGAAACAATGTCTAGAAAGAGCTAGAGGACAGGCAGAACATAATAAATGGTTTTATAAACCTGAATGAATGAATACAATATTAGACACATCCATAATATGTACAGTAGACGGTTCCATCTGAAAGTCAACCACAAACAAGGATGCCTCATTCCTTAACCTGGCATCTGCCAGTGAGCAATGTCTTGGAACTTACCGCCCAGTCCGTTCAAGTTCTGGCCCACTGTGTCCCCCGTGTGGCTCTGGTTCTATGTGGCAAATGTTTCCATTTGGAACTCCAGGCATTTTCCTTTTTTCCTTTTGACAAAAGACCACAAAATGAGTCAAGTCAGCATCTCTCTGTCTTTGCTCTGCCCCTATGTCCAAAAGCCAGAAAAATGTTCAAATGTTCATGGCTTCTGCGTGTATTGCTCATTTGATGCAACTGACTTTCACGGATGTGGGAGATGTGTGTATTTACACATAGAAAACAACTTCCCCAACAGAATCTGATGCCTAACTAGAAATAAGATATGACCTAAACCCCAGCTTCAAATCTGCATCCCTGTATCTCACCATCCTTTAAAATCTCAACCTAGTCCTGTCTGCGCTCCTCTGGCCTAAAGAGCAGGCACGGCCTCGACATGCAGAACAACGCCGGTGAGTTCGTGGACCTGTACGTGCCTCGGAAATGCTCCGCAAGCAACTGCATCATTGGCGCCAAGGACCACGCGTCCATCCAGATGAATGTGGCCGAGGTTGACAGATGCACGGGCCAGTTTAATGGTCAGTTTAAAACCTATGCCATCTGCGGGGCCATTCGCAGGATGGGCAAGTCAGATGATTCTATTCTCCGACTGGCTAAGGCTGATGGAATTGTCTCAAAGAACTTTTGACCAGAAGACATGGGGGAGTGTTTGTCATAAATAAAAGTGAGAAAGTAAAAAATAAAAATAAAGAAAATCTCAACCTAGAAGATCAGTTAATTCTATAAGCTACAGATAAGAGAGCAGGTGGGGGGGGCGTATCTAGGAAAGCCAAATTTACATGGATAAAAATGCCTGGCCTCATCTGGTACACACCGGAGCTCTCTTCCCATCCTTAGTATGGATGGGAACTACCTGGAAGCTTATTTGCTCTTTGATTATACCATGTTTTTTTTCCCTACTCAATTATTTTGTTTGTAATGTACATCTAAGAAATATTTGCCCTCTCCCCTCTGCCATTCTATATCAAAGTCCTTCCAAGTTTGGCTTCAAATCCATTCCTAGTTAACAGTGATATCTCATCAAATCTGAGCCTACCTGTTATTGTTTGGTTTTGGTTTTGGTTTTGGTTTTTGAGACAGGGTTTCCCTGGGTAGCTTTGGAGCCTGTCCTGGATCTCACTCTGTAGATCAGGCTGGCCTTGAACTCACAGAGTCTCCTGCCTCTGCCTCCAGAGTGCTGGGATTAAAGGTGTGTGCCACCAACACCCAGCCTCCTACCTGTTATTGAGATTAATCTTTTATTCCTACTCTGACATTCACGAGCTCCCAAACAGGTGTGTCTCTGTATATGCAGCATAAACCACATAATTTTACTTGTTTGTGGAAGAAACAGCAGCTACAAATAGCTTATATGCATACATTACCTGGGAAGGGACATTTTTGGGTGGCTCAATTCTAATGGATGGGTCCCACTCCCCTGGAGGGAGCACAGTCACTTGGTCCAGGAACTCATCAATCCCTGCCAGAAGGTCGTCTCGTTCCTTTGCTTTATATGCCACATCATGAAAAATCTACAGAAGGAAAAGAAAACTTAGAAAAACTCAAAACTATTTTATTTACAGAACCTCCAGTGAACAGTGAGAAAGGGATACAGCCTCTTGATTTTTATCCCTGGCATGGGCATCTAAGACATAAAACTTAGTGCTTAGAGAAATACACAGATTTTTAAAAGGAACCCAAAGCCTAGTGTGGAGGCGAATATGCCTGTGAAGCCAAGCCCGATGGAGGAGGATCACCTCAGCTGGAAGGCCAAGCTGGTTACAGAGTGAGACCAGGTGTCAAAGAGGCAAGACATGACTCTAAAGTCATCCTATTATCTCCCCAGGACAAAGAACAAGGCTTACAGAAATTCTGTTAGTCATGTGAAAACTAGACAGACTTACTAATGAAGGTCTTTTATGAAAGAACCAAAAGAGATCATACACTCAGCCCATGCTTCTCTGCCTTGGAAACCCACTGTATAGCAGCCCTCTCCAGGCCCAGAACAATGGTGCCTGCAGATACTTCCCGATGACACTGCCTGAGGCATAAACTGAACTCATGCAAACAACTCTCCTTTCCATGGAATGGGAGTGTTTCTTTATGCAAATAACTTCAACATATTTATCAAACTATACTCTGCGGAAAGTTAACTCAGGCTTCATGAGTTACATTAAATATGAGTCTACACATTCTACTTGGCATAGTAATTCTCCCAGAAAATGATTTCTCTGTATCTGTGATTACTTTAAAAAGGGAGTAACTCCAAAGAATACCTTGGAGTTAAGTGGCCAAAGTGGTACAAGCTTATAATCCAGCACTGGGTGTGCAAAGGCCAGCCTGGGCTACGTGTTAAGAACCTGTCTATTGAGCAAGGAAAGTCTCCCAGAGGACTTGGGTCTCTCCTGATTGGCTCTCAAAAAAGTTCCCAGCATGCTTCCCAGAAGACACGGTGACAGTCATTATTTTATCCTCAACAACAAACACGGTTTCTGCAACAGAATTAAGTGCTCAGTATTTATGAGATGAGTAAACAGAAGGCAGAAGAGGTGTGTACCTCGTCCGTCATGATGGTGGCCATGGATCTGCCAATCTCATGGTACTGCTGACCTTTTCCTACTGGACCCAATAAAATAAACAAAAATCTGCCAAAACACACAAAAGAGGGAGTTACGTAAATAAAGGCTGAGAAGTAACATTTTATTCACTCCAAATACCGAATCTTTCTCCCCCACTACCACAGAGAGTGTCACTACCGTCAAGAAGAACATGTACTAATCCCAGCAGAACATCACATTGCTATGGCCCAACAGCATTTGGGGCTGTCATAAAGTATCATTCAATAATGTGGCTGGCTGGGTTTCCTAGAGTTACCATAGACACAATTCTACATCCAAGCTGTAGAAAGGATGTCTTTTCAAAACATGGCATTGATGTGTAAATCCAAGGTTATCTGATTCCCATTCATTATTCTAATAAAAAAAATGATAAGAAGGGGAAGGCTAAGAAGTAGAAATGACCTGAGCCCTGGATGGGAGCTCAACTGTGTTCTGGACATCTGAGCCCTCTCTATAATTAATGGGACTCTGAGTCACCACATCACCACCTCAGGGCACACAAATAGCCAAGTGCTTCTGCCTAGAGACAGTTCCCTGGGTACCACTCTCTCCTGGTATGACAGTCACTGGTCCCCACTGTGCTCTTTCACTATTACCAACCCTAACTTCTGGTACTAACTAGTCTCTAGCATTAGTGCTCACACACATCGGCTCTGGGTAGGATGCCCTGAGCTGTATCTTTCAGTTACCTTGTTGGGATGGGCACTTCTGTCAGGCCCGAGAGGAGCACAGCTGGGGAGAGCCTCACAAAGGCAACGATGGGCCGGTCCAGAGTGTCCACTTCTCCAACCAGGACATTGGAAGCCTCTGCCCCAGTGGGAATTTTTTTCATGAAATGAAGGTCTACCTGAAAGTGCACAAGAGCCTCTGACAATTTAGGAGCCATCAACTTCAGTGCCAATCACTCTCTTCACACCTTATATTTCATGTATCTCACTCAAGGTTTTAAAAAAAAAAAAGGTTTATCACTGTTTTATTTGTTCTTTACAAAATCCTGAATGGAGGTATCTTAGATCATATCCAGTCCCACTATTTAAAAACAAAGGCAGAAAAAAGCAATTAAGATGCCGGGAGAGAAAGCTGGCTAGAACTACGGAGCTTAGAATACATATTTATTTGTAATTTATATCACATATAAATTATAATTTAGTATGTGTGTGCATTCATGTGTGTACTGTGTGTGCGCGCAGTATGTGCTGTGTGTACACGTGTATGTACGTATGCAACCATGTATGAAAGTCAAAGAACACCTTGTGAGAATCAGTTCCCCCTTGCACTGTGTGGGTTTCCAGATGGAATTCAGATTGTTAGACAGCAATACCTTAATCCACTGAGCCACCTCAAGAATCAAAGTTTAGCCAGGCATTAGTGGCTCACGCCTTTAATCCCAGCACTTGAGAGGCAGAGACAGGCGGATCTCTGTGAATTCAAGGCTAGGCTGGTCTACAGAATGAGTTCCAGGACAGCTAGGGCTACACAGAGAAACCCTGTCTTGAAAAAAAAAAAAAATTCAAAGTTTAAATCCAAGAACTCTGATCTGAATCCCATCCCATATGCTCCTCAGAGAGGAGGTGCCCCGGAAGTTCTGGGTCACGTTACTTCTCTTTTCTAATACCGGGCTGCTTCCATCATATACAGCAGTCACAGCCCCCAAGAAGAGTCCAAAACATTCCTATGTTGTTGGGAGGCAGCTACAAAACACTGTGTGACAACTTGAAGATGAGAAGGAAATATCAGAGCTTACCAGATCCCAGAAAGAATCCAGAATACACTGGGCTCCACTACAGATAACCTTAGGCCTAGAAGTCAACTTGCCATGTCTCCCTCACCTTGCTTAGGTCCACAGGACTGTGTTCACAATTCACTCCGTTTTTCACCTCAAGATTCGTAGTTGGAGCAGACTGAGGAGAAACAGTCTGACCTGTTTGGAGAAAACCAAACAGAATGGGCTTGCCCTTCCCCTGACACAGCCAGCCTGTGACTTCTAGAGGCTGACAGGACTATGAAGCAGGGTCCACCCGCATCTTTCTCCACACACAGTGGTAAGAGCAAGACAGAGGCCCTGGTCCTCATTCACCTTCCTCTCTTCCTCTCTTTCTAGAGGCAGCGACCCCAACCCCAGTGAACAAGGACTTCTACAGAGAGCTTGTCATAGTTTGCTAGCAAAGGTCTGCACTCTGATTTAGTAAATGAACAGATAATGCAGACAAGACCATGCCCAATCACAGCAAGAGAAGCAATTACAGCTGAAAGGTTTTGCAACTCACCTGGCCTGAGCACGGGCTTTGGACATAGTTAACTCTCAGAAATCCCATCAAAAAATTCAGAGTCCAAGTGTCACAGCCTAGAACCCTAGTAATTCCGCATCTCCAACTAGTCCTCAAATGCATTCTTAATATAGAGAAACAACAGAGACGCACAAGTCCTTACCATCTTTATCCATGGAATGGGGGTCCGATTGCTTCTTGCCAACTTCAGCAAAGGAGCGGACAATGGGGATGAGGTTGTTCCTCCGCCTCTCGTTCTGATGGTGGTGTTTCTTGAGAAGGGCTTCCCGCACTTTAACCCTCATACTGTCATTCAGGTCACTGAACAGCTCTTGCTGGTCCAGGATCAGGTCTAGAAAGCAGACATTCACAGCAACACTCAGAGTCCAGGAGCCCAAGGGGAATGGTATCAGGTGGCTGGGGAAGGAGCAAAAGGCAGAGGCAAGCTGCTCTACTAAGGTCACCAAGGTGATTTCTGCTTCCTGTCCGAAGAGCATTTGGTTTCTGTGAGAACACATCATTTAGAGATGGGGTGTCACTATGCTATGTAGGCTGGTCATGAATTCCTGAGCTAATGCGACCCTTCTGCAAAAGTGGGGCTTACAGGAGCTGGAGAGGTGGCCCCATGGATAAGAACACTGGCTGCTCCTACAGAGAAACTGGGTTTGATTCCCAGCATCCACGTGGTGGTTCCTAACCATCTGTAATTCCAGTTCTAGGAGACCCAACACCCTCTCACAGCCCCCAAGGGCACTGGGCATGTGGTGTGCATACACACATGCAATCAAAGCACTTGTACATATAAAATAAAATTAATTAATTAAAACACTTTAAGGTAGGACTTCCATGGTGACACATTATGCTTAGCTCCAATCATTGTTTTGGGGGAACAAATCCTATTGAGTATTTAATACATACCTAGAACTACACCACGAACTGCCCATCTGTTTGATACAACCCAGAACTATTCTATTGTGCTTTACAGCTGTTATACTAAAACCTAAAAAGTGGGTATTTTTATGACAATTCTTTTTTTAAATTCTATTTTAAAATGTATTTATTTTTATCTTCAATTACGTGTTTGTGTGCCACATGTGTACAGGTGCCCATGGAGACTGGAAGAGAGTATCAGAGAGTAAATGCTCTTAACTCTGAGTCAGTGTGTTCTTCCAGATAAGGAAACCAATGAACAATTGTTATAAAAGTCCCCAAACTCTCACATCTGCTAAGCTGAAGAGCGAGGGTTTATATCCAGGACTGGCTGACTCAAAAGCTCACGATTACCCTCTTAATTCTACTATCCCTTCCTCCAAGAACTTAGCATTGCTGTAACTGTCAGGGATGTTGCAACTAGGAGGCTCCAGTGACTGACTACCTGAAAGTGGAGCCTAAAGGAAAAATTAAATCGGAGCTGGAAAGATGGCTCAGTGGTTAAGCGCATGAGCTGCTCTTCCAGAGAACATGCTTGCAGGCAAAACGCACGAATACAAAATGAAATAGTAAGTTTAAAAACATATTATTTAAATTAATGAACTGCTTACTGGAGAAAATTACCAGCATTTAAACTATCAAGCCCAATTATGGGGGGTGGGGGCTTCTTACTGGTTCTGTCATCGGGACTCTAGATCATGTCTAGAGTTCAGGCCCTACACTTCATTCCTAGTTCCATTATTCTTGGCTGGTCTGACCTTGGACATGTCTAGAGTTCAGGCCCTACACTTCATTCCTAGTTCCATTATTCTTGACTGGTCTGAAATTGGCATTACATGACCACTCTCTACTCAGTCTCCTCATCTACAGAGAGGCACATTGCCAAAGGCTCTGCACCCACTGGAAGGCTGTTACTGAGCACTGCAGCTAGCTTTGAGCAGCTGCCAGTATTCCCTAAATGCTGGGATTGCAGGGTGAACAATGGAGACCAGGTCCCTGCATATGCAACCTTTGTAATGATTATTTCTTCCCTCAGATTACACTCATGCTTTAGAATTCTTCATCTTGAAAGGAAAAAAATTCTACCTGAGGCCCCTCTTCTATCTACTGTTTTTAACTTTTCTCTTCCCACTTAAAATTCTCAAAAGAAAAAAAAAAATCATGATTCAAGAACCACCTGCAGCTCCCAGCTGAGAGCCCACAGGAAACCATTTCTGTGCTGGGCCTTCAGGAACACAGCCCTATCTATAACTCAATTCACATTTCTGGCTCCCAAACTTACTGCTTGATTGGTTTAATTTGGAGAGGACATTTTACTCCAAGCCCAGGCTGGTCTTGAACTTGATCTACCTGCCTTAACCTTTAAGTGCTAGAATTACAGACATGAGCCACCACCTATGTGGAAATGTGTCACAGTGGTCCCAGTAGGCTAACACCAATTTGGTGGCTGTTACCTGGTTTCCCTCTCACCACTCTAAGCACTCCTGAGCCTCAGTCTCCAAGAGTGACACTGCCCTGCAGCCAGCTTTAGACAGTGAAGCTCCATCCCTTTCTAATCTCACTATTCAACCACCCTTGAGACTGTAAGCGCCAAATGCCCATGGGCCAATGGCCCAGAATACATTTCAGTTCAGATCTATCTCAAGAGTCACATCAAAGCTCTGGTCACCTACAGACATCATCTGGATGTCCCCACACCCTAAAACTTACCAAGTACAAAATGAAACCCATCCTCTTTCCACCCACCAGATCTGATTTTCTTAGTCATCCAGCCATAAGCCAGAATCCTAAGCACTCTCCTCCTTTTGCCCAAAACCAGTCCATCAAATTGTTCCCATCAATTCTACTCCCTTGCTGCACTGCCCATCGAAGGGACACTGGCCCACTGGAGCGTGTGGCTCTGGCAGGCCTTGCCTTCTCCCCCAACCCCTCTGCCTCGCTAAAAAAAATTAGATTACATTCCTAAAGCTAACTACCAAGGTTTTGGCCACTTCCTCCTCCTGAGGATGACTACCAAGGTCCAGCTATCAAAGTATTAAAGTCCAGCAATCAGAAGCCCCCTTTGTCTCATCTAATTAACATGACCAATCAAATTTAAACACCTCATCCTAACATGGGGTTTCCCCTTTTACCTTCATAAACCGCCACTTGCCCATGGGTCTGTCTCCTCCCTATCCAGAGGTGGTCCTTTGTCCCACTCTCCTGCCCCTTTTCTCTTGTCCCCTTCCCCTTCCCCCTTACCCCCTACCTCCTTTACCACTGCATCCTAGCCCACTCTAATGAAGACCTCCCCTTTTTCTCTTCTTAAGACTGACACCTACAAGGTCATTTGCTGCTGATTTTCTGCCTGAGTCAGAAAGCAGCCACTTTAACTTTTCTTCCCTGCTTAATAAAGGATCTCTCTGTGGAAACAGGCATTTGGGTGTGTTTGTGCCTAATCCGGAGTAAGAAACACCCACACACACACACACACACACACACACACACACACACACACACACACACAATGCAGGCACCATCTTACCTGGTCTAATCCCATGGCCTGCCTTACTCTGCCTTTAACTCACCCTCCATCATCTCTCTTACAGTGCTCTAATGTGATAGAGCACTACCCTGCCAAGACATCTGCAGGGTCTTCTCATCAATGTTTATAATGTCACTAACTCCCTGGTGTTCCTCCTCTGAATAACAGGGCAGAAACTTTCTTGGGAACCCTCATGGGCATTTAGACACATAGCTAGAAGTCGGTGAAACGCAGATGTGGCCCAGTCAGAACACAGTCAGAGAATGGGGTTGTGTGAAGAAAGGTTTCTGGGGGCTTGTGAGAAAACTCCAAGAAACCAAGACAAGAGTCTTGTGACCTCATTTTCTTCAAAAGCACAGACTTGTTCTTGGAATTTGCTTTTGAGCCCCTTCCAGGTGTATCAGACAGGAGTAAGTTTACTCCAGATTATTCATTATGACTGACTGGCTATTGCTATTTATAAACCTCCACAGAAAAACATGTTTCTGACACATACCAAGGGTGGCTTTCCCATCCCATGCAGCTTGCCCACTGCACTGCCCTCAGGGTACTGTGTACATTGTATAAATTGTCTGATGTTCATTATTGGGTTCCATTCTCCCAGGCTCCACTGCCTTTAGAGCAGTGAACATGGCCATCGCACTGAACTCACTTTTTTTTTTTTAATTTACTTTCCCCACAGTTGGTGGTACATCTGGGCACCACCTTCCAAAGCTGACACAGAAGTCCGTCAGTACTGACCATCCTTAGGGTCCCCCCAAAGGTCCTCAGAGAGGCATAATTACTTAGGTAACCGGAACAGAGAGTCTTTAACCTGTCCAGTAGAACAGAGTCGATCAAGAGGAAATGTTGCACAGGCAGCCAGGCATTCTCCAATTCTGCTCCATTAACGTCAGAAAACTCCTCAGCAGGTCTACCCTGCATGCCATGCTGAAGTTCGGGAATACTGTGGTTCACTTTCCTGCATATCTGTTCTAGATGACATATTTTATACTTTTACATCTTTAGTTTTCTTTTTAAAGTTATTGTTGTTGCTGTTGCAATCATTAGTGGGCCTGTGTGTGTGTGTGTGTGTGTGTGTGTGTGTGTGTGTGTGTGTGTGTGACGAAGGTGTGTGCCATGGCGTGCTTGTGGAGGACAGGGGGCAACTTTCATAGGTCAGTTCTTCCATCGTGGGTTCCTGGGTGAAACTCAGGTTGCTCAGCTTGCATAGCAAGTGAACCCCTGAGCCATATCAACAGCCCGTTAGTTTTCTTTCTTTCTGGCTTCACTGTTCTGTTCTGTTTTGCTTAAGAGAAGAAATCACTCACGTATAGTGTACCAGAATGTTTGCCTCGAATACTTTCGAGTTTTTCCAGTGTCTCTGCCCTTCCTTTAGCCTTACCTGAAATTTCTTCTATGCTACTTGCACGCATGTCCAGAAGGACAGTGCCATTGATGAGGCAGCTCCTTAGCTCAAACAGACTGTGCAAAGAAAGAGTTGCCACGTAAGGCTTGCTCCAGCGCTCTCCCCCGTCTTCAACATCCTCTTCAAACTTCAGCCACCTACAAGCATGGCCAACAATGAGATGCCACTGATAGAAGATGGGTTTATCAAGGGGAAAAATATCTGAGTAGCCACAGAGAAGACTGCAATGCCTGGCCTAATGTACACACTGGAAGAACTGGAAAAAGCAAGTTGTGGCACAGTGAAGTCTACCATCCCCCCTCCACCCCAACTTTTATTTTTACTTATTCATTTATGCATTAATTCATTTTGGTTTCTCTTGTGTAACACCCTTGGCTGTCCTGGAACTCTCCTGTTCTGGAGACCAGGTTGGCCTTGAACTCACAGAGATATGCCTGCCTCTGCCTCCCAAGTGCTGGGATTAAAGGCGTTCGACACCAATACCCAGCCCTAATCCCAATTTTATTCAAAGATAAATCTAATATTACAAACACATGTAGGTACAAGACCCCAAACATATTTCTTGTTTTATCCTTGGGACTGTAGGATAGAAGTTTACTGTCATTTTCTCCCTTTTACTTATCTTTATTTTTTTTTCCCGAGACAGGGTTTCTCTGTGTAGCCTATCCTGGCACTCGCTCTGGAGACCAGGTTGGCCTCGAACTCATAGAGATCCCCCTGCCTCTGCCTCCCGAGTGTGGGATTAAAGGTGTGCACCACCAACGCCCGGCTATCTTTATTTTTTTAATTGTCTATAGTAAGCATGATTTTTAAAAATCTAATCTGTGTCATTTGGACACATTGACAAACCACATTAATAAGACAGTTACATTTTTATCAGTTCTTTGTATGATTTTAGAAATCCACAAGGACAGAGACACAAAAGACTAACAGCCTTTTCACTTGCTACCAGGCCAGCTGGCCCACGAGAAATGTCCATAGTAGTTCATGCATCAAGGCCACATCAGTGTGCGCTGAAGCCAGGCTACCTAGTTACCCATGAAAAGACAAAAGGCAAGCTGGCCTGCCACTTGCTGAGAGGTAGACATCTGCCTATGCCCAGAGCTCCTGACCCGGGTTCTGTTAGGACCTCACCTGGCTGTCTCCTTCCACTCAGCATCCTCTCCCTCTCTCAGACAGATTTCATCCAGCTCTGTGAACAACTCATGAGGCACATGCTCCTCATCTTCCTCAGTGCCAAGAATGAACTGTACACGCTGAGATGGGGTGTCTAGAAAACCAACCAGAGAAAGGTCTTGATGTGTATCTAGCCTCCAAGTCGGAACAAAAATAGCTTCTGCCTAACAGCTTTGGGAATATATAGAAGATGTCCCGAATACAGATTTAAAAGTTCCTTTGTTCTTAGAGAAAAGGCTATTTTGTGGAAGCATTTAAACATGAGGACAGACCACTTTCAAAAGTCCCATGAGAACCTAGAAATCAGGGCTGGAGAGACGGCCCAGTGGTTGAGAGCACTGGCTGCTCTTCTGGAGGACCTGGGTTCAGTTCCCACCACCCACATGGTGGTTCACAACTGTCTAACTCCAGCACCAGGGATCTGATCGCCTCTTCTGGCCTGCAAGGGCACCAGGCGAGCACATAGCATACAAATATACATGCAGGCAAAACACCCAAACACATAAAAATGGTTTTTTTTTTAGTTTTCTAGAGATCTGACATTTTTTTTAAATAGCAAAGGATTACTTATAGTGTTGATTGAGGTGTTGAAATGCCAATTTCAGGAAAACATTTTTAGTTCTTAGAAGCATTCCTTCCTCTTGGGAACCCTAGCCAATGGCTAGAGGATCAAGACCACCTGCCTATGCCTCCTGCACTTCCATGAATCACCATACCACCCTACCATGGGCACCGGCCCTCTCTCCCCGGGGTCTTACCATGGGCCAAGGCTTCCAGGCCCTCTTCGCCCTGGCTGGCTCCTTTGCCCCGCCCTCCTCTTCTCCTGTGCTTCTGGCCATGAGTGCGGTGGTGCCGATGGCTCTGCCTGCCCAGTGGCATCCGAACCCCCACATACAGAGTTCTATGACCTGGATGGAAGCAGAAGGCCTATGGAGAGAACTCCTTTTACAAAAGGAGTCTAGCATAATTAACAGCAAAAACATCACAGGTTTTGTACCAGGCACTTCTGGAATGATCAAAGTTTACAGACTCCAGGACTAAAGACAGCAGTCAGAGAGTTGGCAGTGTCTTCCTCTGTCCTGCATATGGCTATACACCTCACCAGGATGTTGTGACAATCAAAGGAAAGAACTGTGCTTCATTACGTACACTAGCTGTGAGAGAGCGGGTGCGTGGCTAGGAGGCATGGTGAGGCTGGGGGAGCATGTCAAGATTGGAGAGAGCGGGTGCGTGGCTAGGAGGCATGGTGAGGCTGGGGGAGCATGTGAAGGGCATAGCAAGTCACATATTAGAACATGGGAACATAGCTCAGCCGCAGAACCCAGCATGTGCTAGGCTCTGGCTGGGAGGGTAGAGGGAGGAGGGAGAGGGAGGAGGAAGAGAGGGATGGAAGATGGAGGGGGAATAGGAAGGGAGGGAATATGACTTAAAAACTATGAAGATATGCTACTTTTTGCTATTACACAAACAATGTGAGTGATTTTAGAGACGATTCCCATATGGTAACCAGCAGGTTTTGGCAGAGAGGTGGTTAAGCACAGTCAAGGCCCTTGTCAGACCGTCTGCACTTTGGCAATAGATGTCTGAGCATGAGTGAGCCATCCAGGTTCTCTTGATTCGCCTTTTAAAAGGAACACGGATGCTTATTTTTCTAACTCATGGGGTTATAAAGAGCAGCAAATAAGATAAGGCATGGAAAATGCTCAAGGCTATGCCTGGAACTAACCACACCATCTAGACTACTGCAGACAGGCCTTCTAAATCAGAGGGAGTGAGGCTTAGAGACATTAAAGGCAGTCACAACAAGTAGAAGATGCCTTTCTTGTCCCCTCCTGCTCCCCATTCCTCCCACACACACCTTTTGGTTTTCATCCTCCACCTGACTCCTTTGCCAACCCTGGAACTCAGAATCAGAAGTTCCAGGCAGTTCCCAACCCTGATACTCGCAGCCTTGCTCTGCCCATTTCCCCAGTGCCTGCAGCTCTGCACACCAGAGCTTAGCTGTGCCCCACTCTGTCCCCACTGCTCTTGGCAGCCATCTTTAGCCGGTGTCTTTGAATTCTACCTATGCCCATCCCTTTGACCTCTTGTTTCTCACCTTACTGAGAAGTCTCAGGCCCTTCCATGGTAGCCCCTTCAGTCACAGTCTGGCTCCTCTCTGCCAGGCTCTGGAACACTCCATTCCATGCCTCCCACTCCCCGGCCCCTCCCTGGCACAAGTTATGCTCATTCTCTGCTCTCCATCCAGTTCTCCATGGCTGACCCAAGAAGATTCATGCTGACTGCTGCTCCTATGTTTCGTTCTCTCCTTCCTTAAGCATGACTGGCCTCACCCCTCCTCCTCCCCAGATTCTTGCTCCAGGGCCTCTGACTGTGGCTTCTGTCCCTGCCCTTTACTAAAGCTGTCCATAGTAAGGACGTCAGATGGCACTTAGTCGCCAGAGCTCTGTCACAGCGCGCGCGCGCGCGCACACACACACACACACACACACACACACACACACACACACACACACCCCCTCGAC